GGCGGCAGAACAGGATAATAAGAATTCTTATCTTGACTTTCGATGTCCAAAATATACATTAGTTCATTAGTTATCTTATAGCTAAATTATTTCATGTCACTTTCAAATATAACAAGCAGAGTTTTCAGCAATGACTAATAATATGTATACAAGAAAATATAGAAACGCCTTAAATTATTATTTCAATGGCACGTTCATCATAGGAAATAAATTTAAGTAAAACAAAAAACTTGTGGAGTTGTATCATGGGTATCTTAACATAGCCATATTATTAAGGTAAAAGGAATAGAACAGTAAAAAAAAAGCACTTGATAAAAAACAAGATGCAAACAAAGAAATATGTTACAAAAGTATTTCATTCTTTTGCATTGACCGAATCAACAAAATGTTATCCAGTTGTTCAGAATTAAAATTTGTTCTCCTTTCTTGGATAATCAAAACGACCCATGAGAATTGTCTCTCGACACAGCTGATATAGCTGGTATTGAATGAACAGATCGGGCATATAGAGACAAAATGGGGAATTTATCTTAATGCTCCTTCCAAATTGGCACACAATTAGATTCTAGTTTTGGTTTATCAAGTTCTACATTAAAATAACGATCAAGTTCATCGGCTTTCATACCACCAGATGAAACTGCTTTAATTTCTTCTTTTGATTCTCCTTCACTTTCTTCAGCAGCACCAAAATTACTTGATTCAAATCGACTAAATAAATCTTTTTTTAAATATCTTTTGTAATAGTTGGCCACTAGAAATGGACACAGGGCAACTTTTTCTGTCCTGTCCTGTTCTTTTGCTTCCCTCCGTCCTGGCGGGCGGCAGAACAGTACAGGGTAGTACAGCAGGACGGTAGGACAGAACGGTCCTGTGCCCATCGTTGATCCACATTCACAACCTACCCAGAGGACACCGTGAAGAAGTAGGTGTGAATTGAGTTCATTACTTTTTATTCTCGATAAAATTATTGGAGTACAATGAACCGACGTTAAATGTCGCTGGCTCTCGGTTTTCATTTGCATCTCTATCTGATGCATTGAGATTGCTTCCTCATCAAACAGCTGCTTTTGACGGTCTCGCCGATAGTTATAAGTGGACAAAGAAGAAGAGAGTCAATATTTTATTTTTCCTGATTTTAGAGCATATCAAGTTCAATATGTCAGATAATAAGTGCGCCGCTACATTATATGATCTGAAATTGAACTTGATCGAATTTTAACTGATAATTAGCTGATACTGAATATTGGCTTACGCTACATTGCTAGAAAGCTACACCAAAAACATATACCATCGATCATCTTCCAAGATGACAACCGTGTGATTGTAGTAATACCATGTGCTGTGTATGAAAGTTGCCAAAGGTGGGAAAGAGAAACCAATACAAAAATTGTTTACATTTATAAAAAGGTCAAATGCGTCACAGATATAATTTCTTACTCGTTAACAGCTTTCTTCATTTATAGATTTTAGATTACTCAAAGCTTGTCAACCATCCTGCCGATGTAGTCAAGTATCGAGCAATTCTCCTTGTTTCCATGATCCATGAACTTAGACATTGGTGTTTTCATTACTTTGCTTGCCATATGAACCATGATCCAGCTGCACCGATCGAAAGATCTACTTTTCAATATGCGCTTGTGTATTAATGGAAAAAGCTGTGGATACGGTCGAATATCTTCTATTAGGCCATCGTATTCATCATTATGGATCTTAACATGCGCAATCATGGTGAAAAATGGCACATTTGACAATAGCTGATATTAATCGTGTGAGTATATCGGGTCGACTATATTGTGAAAAAATTCAACAATCCATATTGTATTATTTCTACCAATTGTCTGAGAAAACTATTCCAAAAAATAGTACTGTTACAAGTATGCATTGTTCTGTTGATTCATAGTCCTCCTGACGAGCCGACATTAAATGGAATAAACTTTTCCTTTTTATGTTGGTGTACTAATTAAGTAGTTCTTACTGCACAATTGTTCGTCGCTTTTTCATACGCTTATAAAAATACTATATGATGAAATCCGAATCAAACTTATTTTGTGATCATTTCATATAAGAGAAACTTATTGATTCTTGGATTATGCCGAAGTCAAATTAATCACGTTGTTTTTGGCGAAAATAAATATAATACATGAAAAGAAAACTCTTGTGAACTAAGTGCTTAGAAATGTTGATGTGAGAATATTAAAAAATATGAAAACAAAATGACACAGCATAGAAAGTAGAAAAGAAGATCGTTGTGATAATATTCGATTGAGTTGGATAGATATAAAGACAGCTACAGGGAGAAGAATATAATCACAATAATAACAACAAAGCTTTTTCATGCGACAAGATTGATCTTCGTAAGGATTCTCTCGACAAAAGTTAACCATAACAATGAATAATTTCTATTTGACAATACTCAATACATGAATGAAGAGAACGGTACAGCGAAAAGATTTAAAGTATGTATTTGATTTAGTCGTCAATGCATTAGAACAAGAAAAAACTAGAATATCAATTGTCAAGAGACTGAAGGTCAATAGGAAAAGGTAGAGCAATTATATCAGTATTAAATTATCATCTATCACAATACGTAGATTTAGTTTTTCTCTTTGATCAATATCACTAATGGTCCCATCGATGAAATTGATCGTTGTCCTATCACTTTTAGATGTTTATCATGATTGTTTTATTGCATTGACATAGTCTTGCATTGATTGCAATAATATATCTTTGTGCACGTGTATAAATCAACAATAATCAGATAATGTTACAAATTCTCTTTTACACTAATACATCAAATATGGCATCGAAAAGAAGAGTTCAAGTTTTGTATGTGTTGTCAAACATAAACTTTGTAGTCGTGGTGATTGTTTAAAAGAAATAATGACTAAGACTTGCAAAATCCAAGTTCGATATGACAACAACTAATTGATGCAACACACGGTTGTTGTATTAGAAGACTTTAATCTTGTACAAGACAAGGCCATGAATCGATTCACTGGACATTTGGAAGTAAACTTTTCGACCCGAGCCTTCGATACTGATGAAATAAAGCGGGAACGGTGCATCTTTTTTTCAAATTGTTTCCTGCGACTTGAGTTCTCCAAGACAACTGATGCGGCGTGGTGTACCCAGTGAAAAATGTCCGAGAAAAATCGCGGATATTCTTGATTATCAATAAATTTCACAGATTATTCGTCTAAAAATTCAGTTCATCCAAGGAACTTCAATTAAATAGAATTTAATTCCTAAATCAGCAGGAGAAGTGATCATTTTTTATGATTATTTTGGATTATTTTATTTTAATACAAAATCAATTGTTATTTGAATTACTGCTTACAGTTCTAATTGTTGAAAATCCAATCCACTGGTTTTGTTCTAATGTATACTAATAATGTATAGATATCGGCGAACAACTCTGTCTATAGTGCATATGCTTTTGCCTTCTATGCCATTCTCTCCATGAGCGAGTCGAGACCATCATTGCGAATATTCCTAGCTTCGATTCTGAGTGAGTTTAAAATTGTTTCACCTAGCAGCTATTCTATGTTAGGTGCAAATGACTTAACAAGCAATGTTTTATCCGATATGAAGATAGCTTCTAGCAAAAAATACTTTTTGATTTACTCAACAAGTGATTGGCATCTTTCTCACAAGGGAACATTCCCAGGTGAAGGAGCGCTTTTCAGCCGGGGTTTCGCACATCTTGTAGCCCATAGTGAGCTATGTCTATGGTAAAAAAAGTTCGAGTTTCTGGCTGGTTTCTGAGGAGATATCGAGCTTCTAGTGAATTTTCCCTATAGGACGTCCACATTGGTAGCAAAGTTATACTTTCGAATTTTGATCTGAAACTTTGCCTGCATAAAGGTCTCAGCTAGACTAGTTTGCATTAAAAATTTCAGAAGTTTTGAACAAAGTCTGTTTAAGATACGAAGCTTTGAAAAAAATGCATACTATATATATATTATTTATAAAAAAGGGACTGTACCTTGATAGTTTCATATCTTAGAGAGACTTTATTCAAAACTTCTGAAATTTTTAATGCAAACTAGTCTAGCTGAGACCTTTATGCAGGCAAAGTTTCAGATCAAAATTCGAAAGTATAGCTTTGCTGCCAATGTGGGCGTACTATAGAGAAAATTTACTAGAAGCTCGATATCTCCTCAGAATCAAGCCAGAAACCCGAACTTTTTTAACCATAGACATAGCTCACTATGGGCTACAAGATGCGCGAAACCCCGGCTGAAAAGCGCTCCGTCACCTGGGAATGTTCCCTTGTCAGTTAGTTAGTTTTCCCTCTGCTAGCTGGATTTGACTAAATACTTGTTTCGAATCATTTCAAAAGTTTTTTCAAGTTTGTCACTAGTTTCGAGACACGATATGAATATTATTCTAATGATGTGCACTCCATGCTAGAAGATGTTTAAGAAACGAAGTGATCGTCCAATCTTTGTCATATTGCAACTAAAGCTACTGAGCTGACAGATACATGACTATTCTAGATTTTCCAGTCATTTGTTTTTCCTACATATTAAGTATCAATAAATTGCACTTATGAAAACATCAATTCTTCGAAATTCAGTTCCTAGAAAGTTACTTCGGCGCTCAGGTTTACGAAATCTTTTTCGATTGGAGTCACTTATCAAAAGAACAAAACGGCAATCGACTTGATGAAGTCACTATTGACTATTTTTCTTTCGAACGATTACGTAGTAATCAATAGAAAACGATCTAAATTCAAAGTATGCCTCACATTATTATCACTCTCAATCTTCGAATGAATTTTCGATTTGATTCACCTGAACTGAAAATACATATATTATATGTATCTTTTGATATTTTTTATAGAAGACAATTAAAAAGAATATTAAGAAAAAACAATACAGAACTACTTAGTATCTATGATTAATGTTATTGGATTGAATTCAATGTGAAAAAAAGATAGCGAAGAGTATGAATGTTTGTCTTTCAAACGTCATATGCGTTCAATTCCTGGACAATGATTATAACTTTCGATTGTCTTCTATAATCATATCAGCCGCCTTGAATCCAATAATCATCGTAATTTGATTTGTATTACCAGATATCAATGATGGCATAATTGAAGCATCAGCAATTCTCAAATTCTTCGTATTGCGTACTTGTAATCGTTTGTTTACTACGATCATATTATCATGGTTAAAATTGTTTCCCATTTTACATGTACATGATGAATGTAAATCTGATGAAATATTTTCTTTTGCCCAATTTAACAATTCTTTGTCATCTGTCATATTATATCCGGTATATATTTCTTTCTCAGTTAAACTGCTGATCATTTTAGTAGAGAGAAACGACTGACCAACTTTAATTGTTTGTAAAAGCTTTTTTTCATCATAAGAATTAGATAAATAATTTGGATTTATGACTGGATTTGATAATGGATCATTATCCTTTAATGTGACACTACCGCGAGATTGATATTGAAATGTTTCGACAAATATCTGGAACGCTTTCTTGCCATCGCTCTCACTGATACCTAATACATGATAATATTCACCGTTTTCTTCAATCGCAACAGCACCCCATCCACCAAGTACAGTACTAGGCAATGGTATATTTTGATTAAGCAATGGTGGTGACCATAAACTCACAAATGTATGATCTTGTAAATTTTTTCCAACGCCTGGTACATGTGATAAACAAGTAATATTGAAACGTTTCAATTCATCGCATGGACCAATGCCGCTTAATAATAGTAATTTCGGTGTGTCGAATACTCCAGCAGACAATATTATCTCTTTAGTAACGTAATAATAATCATATTGTTTATTACCGACATTATATGTTTTGACACCGATTGCTTTCAAATTTCTATCGAATAATATTTTATGAACATGCGTAAAGACTAATATATCTAGGTTTTCTCGTGGTAGTACTGGTTCGACGTATGTATTCCAACTAGTTACTCGTTGAGCGTAATTGTTGGATATTTTTCTACTCATATAAATTCTTGGTGCAACACCGCCTTGACCTTGAGCAGAATTCAAATTATTTGGATTAGGATTATATTTATAGCCAAGTTCTTCGGCACTTTTTAACAATGTAGACATCATTGGATCATCTGCATTTAATTGTGTATGGGTAAATGTATTATTTATATAATTCCAATAAGGGGATAAATCGTTCCATGTCCATCCATCAATAGGTCCCCAACGTTCGTCGAAGTCTTTACGATTGCCGATTATAAATGCCATTGCATTATGACTGTTGCATCCACCTGTACCTTTAGCTCTCGGTTGTGTTATTTTATGATTGTTTAATCCGACTTGCGGTACTGATACATATCCGAGTTCTATCATAGGATCAGTCAATAATAGAAGCCATTGAGATGCTTCTTGTACAATGGGGTTCAATGATAACCAATAACCTTGCTCGATCAATAATACTTTGTTCTTAGGATTATCTGAAAGTTTTCTTGCCACAATACTACCAGCTGTTCCAGAACCAACTATGATATAATCATAACAATTCATGTTCGATCCTCTTTTACAACTTTCATAGTTTTTAATATGATAATTGTAATTATCATCATCCTTGTTACTTTTGTGGGTATCAACATTTGCTATAAAGAGCAAGAACGTCATGATCGATGATCCAATAATCATTGTCTTCATCTTTTTTTGCGGATATGGAATCTAAAAACATATGGATACATGCACAAAAGTTAAACGATGAGTTAGATAATTGTTCGCTCAACCAACAAAACATTTGACGCAAGGAAAAACTTAACGTTCAGAATCATCTGTGAGCGAAGCATGTATTGCGTTCTTGTTTCATAATTCTGCTCGATGTACTTCTTTCAAGGGGGAAAAACCCGATTTTTGTACTTCTATACTTCTCCGTACTTCTGCATATTTCTCTATATTTCTGGTAGTTATTGGTACTTCTTTGTACTCCTGTGTACTTCTCCATACTTCTCGGTACTTCCGTATACTTTGTGATACTTCTGTAATTCTTTATGCTTCTTCATATTTCTCTAGACTTCCCTTACTTCCTCGCACTTCTCTCATGCTTCCTCCTACTTCTTTGTACTTCTCCGCACCCCTTCATATTTCTGGACATGTATATGTGATTCTATGTTTTTTTAAGTATGTCTTTCACTTCAGAGACAAAAGAAAGATATAGTCAGTTTCTTCCTATAACGTAGTTTGTGATTTAGAAAACAATAAACAAATAACGAAAGGAGGACTTACAGTTGAAAACAAAGTACCAGTCCTCTTTTTACGTTTTTTCTTTTGCACTAACATTTTTAAAGAGAAGAAAAATTACGACTTTTCTATTTCTCATAATAACGATCACAATACAATAGAAAACATGCAGAGAAAGAGAACTGGTGCTTATTATAACTTTAACTAAAAAAAGGACTAATATTGCACATTAAACAGAAATAAATACTAATGTTCATTAAAAAAAATTGCAGTCATTGAACGATAACAAAACCGGAAATGTAAAAATGACATACGAAATAGACTTAAATAATCTATCATGGAAATGAAATAGAAAAAACTAACCTGGATGCTACTTATTTTCTTATCGTTTTGTTTATTTTTCCTGTTGAATAAATATATTCACCTAACAAAAACTGTCTCATCTTACTGTAAAAGTTAATATACTTTACGGTACTTACATATACCTCATGATACTTTTCGATACTTCCCTATACTTCTTGGTATTTCTCTGTACTTGTTGATATATTTTGATACTTTTCGGCACTTTGTAGCACTTCAAAAGTGTACAAGTCTGCTTTTTCCTCCTTGGCCGAATCACAACATAGAGCATGAACTCTTTGGAGATTATTCTAATCTAATGGTCCCCTACATATGGGTATAAAGTGAATGTAAACAGAGTGGGTCACTTGGGAATGTTCTCTAGTTAGTGGTACTACTTAAGGATAGAAAAATCCGCTGAATACTGATAATAAAGAAACATCTTCTGACAAGGATGTAACTTTAAAAAAACTTACGTGTGCTCAGTGTATTCTTGCGAAGCCTTCTGTGCTGACGAGCAGGATAATGGTGTAATGGATTGAAGTTATTTTATGAAAAAAAAAGAAAACATTATGCCGTTTATATAGGCATCGACAAAAAAATTTGGCCTGCATGCATTCATCCATATACGTGAAATAACTCACAATCATATATTATTGAGGTACCTTTTTTCTTCATACCTATATTTTAATCGTTTTGCTTGTTCTATCACTCATCGATCAAGTAGCTTGATTGACAGAGAGAGATAGAGAATCAATCGAAGGTTGGAAAAAATATGCATTATACACCGGCTTAATTAATTTTTTTCCTATCCTTGTACAGCATAGATAAAATATTAAGGCCTCACAAGCAATAAAATGGTACGTACTATACCTTAGCTCCAGATTCGAGTATTTTTAGGGCCGATTCGCCCAGCAAAGTGTTCCAACAAAGTTGTTCGCTTTTCCAAGTAAAACTCTATGAGCTGCATCGAACGGTGAAAACCGCTCCTCAATACATATTATAACATTCGAGATATAACTAAATTACCATTGTTTCTTCCAATGCAACAAAATTCGAAAAATGTAATTCTGGGACGGATTCACCTAGGAATCTTTTCCCATGAAACCCTTTGTGTTTCAAATGCAGTTGAATTAACTCTATCGAATGGTAAAAATCGCATCTCGATACATACGACTGTTCTCGGAAAACGACCGAAATGGTTCTTCCACCTGGGATTTTCTGGACCACTTCGCCTACAGTAGTATCAAACTCGAAAGTTGAATTCAAGTATTCGGTTCAACTATTCAAGTATTCAAATATTCAACGATTCAACTATTCCAGTTTTCAATTACTCAACACCTCGAATGCTACCAGAATCACCTAACATTGGCAGGTATTTTCTAGAATGCTACTAGCATCACCTGACATGCTACAGGATCCTCTACAATGCTGTCAGTATTACGTAATATGTTACAAGCATCACATAGGATGCTACAAGCATCACTTAGGATGCTACAGGCATCCACTGGAATGCTACGAGGATCACTTAGGACGCTACAAGAAGTATATGAGAAGCTTGAGCTACCGTGCAGCGCTGAGTAGAAATGATGGTGTACAACAAAGACGTGCATGGGTCGCGGCTCTTCAGGGAGCGCTTCGCGTCCCCACGCCGCGACCCTGAAATAAAAGACGTGTTAGGTGGTGGAAAGCGCTTTCCCACTGGAATATCCGCAGAACACGTGACAAGTGAAAATTTGAATAGTTGAATACTTGAATTCAAGTTTCAAGTATTACATATATGTTCGCCTAGGAAGTTGTTTCAACAAAACAATTCATGCTCCAAGTACCATTTTACGAGCTCTATTCAACGGTGAAAACCGCATCTCGATACATTCGATTGCTCGGCAGACATTGTCATGATATCGATCTAAATTACTCCGTCAAACTAATATTTCTTGTGCCGATTCATCTGTAAAAATCGGTAATAACTCAGCATAGGAGCATTGCGTGACGTGCGAAGTTTTACTAGTGGATAAAGGTCGTCAAATTACATTTGGAATATACTTTGGCTTAGTTGGAACACTTTCACAGGTGAATCGATCCTAAAAATACTCGAATCTGGATATAAGATATTCTAGGTTAGGATGGTGCTCAATAGTGTTGATTCTGGTAAAACAAAGCTTTAACCGTCCCTTCTACATATGAAAGAAGATATTGGTTTTTAACATCACTTGTGGAAGCATTTCGTGCCCATGGCCATGTTTCTCGTGCAAGATCGAGGCTTGGATGCAGCCTCAACCTCAGTACCAATATTACTTCTCTCCCAGGATCATTCTCGGTCCCAACATCGACCCGGGTCTCAGCTTCAATATCTGCCACAACTATCATCTTCGTTCAAGTTTCCGTTCTCGTCGCCTTGCGTATCCTTATTCTGATTACGATTCCTATTCCAGTGGTGATTTTCGTTCATGTCACAGTTCAAGTCGCTATTCTGCTACCAATCTCAATGAGCATTCAACTTCAGACGCGACTCACACTCCCAGTGGCACAGTCGATTACATTATCGACTTCAGACCTAATCCCAAGGTCTATCAGACAGATTGGGTGTGATGCGAGCTCTACCAAGCCTAACTTTTCGTTCGGGTTTCAGTCCCTGTCTTGTGTCTATCCCGGAGTTTTTCACGCATCGGTACTCATCTTTGTTGCAGCTGCGCTCAGTTTCTGGCCTCAGCTTAGGTCTCGGCTTTAGCATGCACTCAAATTTTGACCGCCTTCTCAATTACAGGGCCAGGTTCGGACCTCACCACAGTTCTCGTAGCAAACATGTTTCAGGATGACTACTCTGGCTAGGCTTGGATATAGTCTGGGCTTCAGAACTACACCCGATCTCTCTCCCAGTTTCTGCAGGAATCGCGGAAGCCGCGTACAATTCTGTCTTAGCATGCATCTCGATTGCAGATTTCATCTGAAGTTTGCCCGCTTTCTCTACTACAGTGGCCAGTTTTCATTAAGTCCCGAAAGCTACACAAGTTTCAGCTTCAGTCGAATTATCGGTCTCAGATTACGTCTCAAATGAATAGTTGATCCCAATCATCAGTTCATTTTCAGTTTCAGTTATGGTTGCACTATTGATCTTGACTTCGATCTCTGCTTCAGAGAGAATCCAGAGGCCCGATCGCATTCTCAGCTATAGTGACGACTTCGGATGCGATCTTAGTGCCCATTTCGGTGACGGTTTTGAGGCATAGATTCTTACCCTCTCCTGGTACCCATGTGAAAATTTAAGTCAAAAAGCGCGCTTAAATTAGCTTAAATTTTTGGCTGAAAAGTGCTGAAAAGCGCACATTTTAAGCGGCTGGAAAGTGCTTAAATATATATAGTTCAGCGCTTTCAAGCGCTTACCCTTGGAAGTTTAAGCACTTTCAAGCACTGAAATTCAAAGCAGTGTAAGCGCTGAAAAGCGCACATTTTAAGCGACTGAAAAGCGCTTATAATTACATATTTAAGCGCTTATAAGCACCGACTTTCAACGAACTGATATTCATTGTTGACCGATACTATTAGCATAATTTAGTGTCTATATATAGAGAACTTCTAAAATAATATGACATTCAAAAGATTTCGATTAGTTCCGAATAACTATTCTAGATACTAGCTTTACATCCATATCCTTCTGCACAAGTAATTTAAAAAAAAAGACATTTTTGAATTTCGAGCCGTAACTACAGAGTTATTGTTTGAAATTCAAAGAATTTTCTTCAAAAATTGTCTATCCAGAGGGATATAGGTATAAAACTGTAATCTAGAATAATTATTTGAAACTAATCGAAATCTTTTGAACATCACATTAATTTAGAAGTCCTCTATATGTGGACACTAAAT